CCACCGTATCATGACCTGCTGAGATAGCAGACCTGTAGATGTTGACTGTACGGAATGCCTTGCCCGATTCGAACAATTGAGTGAGGAAGTCCAGTACCGTCTTTACAGAAGCTGATGTGGGATCCACTGATCTTTCCAGGCACCAATCGGACCAAGTTCTCCATGCCGTAGCATATGCGCGCCGTGTTCCCGGTGCCCAGGCGTTCGCCAAGAGTTGGGTAGTTGTTCCCGAAACTTCCGTGATTTCCCAGGGTCCCCGGAAAGGAGCCATGCCATGAGTCGGAGGATTCCCCGTTCTATCAAGTCGTGATTCTCCCCATCCGGGTTGGTTAACAGTGACGTTTGATCCGGTAGCAACCGTGGGAAGTCGATCGCCATTTCCAGAAGGTGAGGGAACCAGGGTTGGGATCTCCAGCACGGTGTTATCAAGACCAACGAGGTTCTGTAGCGTCGAATGTATGTTAGAGTCCGAGCAATCAGGTTGAACGGGGGAAAGGCGTATGCTCGTCCCCCGGTCCAGTCCTGAAGGAAAGCGTCTGTCGCCAAGGCTTCCGGGTCCGGTCGCCAGCTGAAAAATTGAGGAAGTTGAGTGTTCAGTCTGGACGCAAAGAGGTCCACACTCAAGGGACCCCATAGTCGAGCTATCCTGGCGAAGACTTTCGGTTGAAGCTTCCAGTCTCCTAAATCCCTCAGATATCGGGAGTTCCAGTCCGCGGTGTAATTGTCCAGGCCTGGTATGTGTTCAGCGGTCACCGACACATTGTTTTGTAAACAGTAATGCCAGAAGTCTCGAGCTAAAACCGCTAGGATGCGTGACTTAGTACCTCCAAGATGGTTTATGTACCTGACTGCCGAGACGTTGTCTAACTTGAGGAGGATCGAGCATGAAACGCCCCTGGGTGTGAGGCTGCAAATGGCAAATGAGGCCGCCAGTAGTTCCAGTGAGTTTATGTGCAGGAATGATTAGTTTACTGACCATCTGCCTCCTGTGGATATGGAGCCGCAGCGCGCCCCAGCCATGTAAGCTTGCATCCAACTCGATTATCATGTCTGGAGTGGAACCGAAGATCGCCCGTCCATTCCACGCTTCCATGTGGGTTAGCCACCAGTCCAGTTCCTCCCTGGATTCTTCGTCCAGCGTGATGTTGGATTCGTACGACTGACCCTTCCTTAGGCAGGAAGCTTTTAGGCGTTGCAGCGCCCGATAGTGGAGCGGTCCCGGGAAGATCGCCTGTATAGAGGCCGCTAGTAAGCCGATTACCCGAGCCAGTTGTCTTAGAGAAATGTCTGAACGGTTCATTATCCTCCTGATCTCCTTCTTGATGTTGGACATCTTGTCTGAAGGGAGGCACAGGATTTGTTGTACCGAATCGACTCGGAATCCTAGGAATTCCATCTGTTGAGAAGGTTGTAGTACCGATTTCTCCCAGTTCACTAGGAAACCGAGGTTCTGCAGGAGGTGAAGGGTCCACGACAGGTGTGACAGCAGAAGGGATCGTGTCCCAGCCAGTATGAGGATATCGTCCAGATAGATAATGAGGCGAATCCTGTGTAACCTGAGAAATGCTACCACTGGTTTCAGCACTTTCGTAAAGCACCAGGGAGTGGAGGAGAGCCCGAACGGGAGGCAACAGAAGCGCCATTTCTTCGTGCCCCACCAGAACTGTAGGAGATTCCTGTGTGTTGGTGCTATCGGGATCGTGAGATATGCATCTTGCAGATCGAGTTTCACCATCCAGTCTCCTGGGAGAAGGAGGTCTCGGAGGCAGTGTATGCCCTCCATTTTGAAATGCCGATATTGTATGAAGGCATTGAGGGGTCTCAGGTTGATAACTGGGCGGACACCCCCGCCTTTCTTCGGCACCAAGAACAGGTTGCTTATAAAACCTGGGGTATCTAGAGGGATTTCTTCTATGGCGTTTTTGTTGTACAAGGTCTCTATCTCCGTGGAGATGAGGTCGTAATGAGACTGTGGCATGTGTGGCACACGCGGGAGGGAAACCTGAAAGGGAAGACCCGTCAATTCTAGTTGGTAACCCTCTACAGTCTGCAGTACCCAACTGTCGGATAGTGGCCCAAGTCTGAGAAAACAAAGCCAGTCTGCCCCCCACATTTATATGGGAAAAATGGGGGAAAATCGTACTCACCATAAGGGCGTTTTCCTGGGGTTGTTCCTCTGCCGCCACGGGCATTCCAAGATCTTCCTCGAGAAGGGAAGAACAGAGTGTAGGAACGTTCATGGTTTTGTCTCTGTGTGTTGGAGGAGCCTCTGCCCGGTCTGGAAAAACCCCGGGAGTTGCGGCCGGATAGACGGCTCCTACCTCTACCGGCCGCACCGAAAACCTTTTGGTGGAAGACCCTCTTCATGGATGATTGGGCTTTATCCAGCGCCGTGAATGTTTTGACATAGGAGCCCAGGTCTTTGACGAAGGATTCGCCAAACAACAGACCCTTAGCCGTGGCCCCTGGTTCAGAGGAGGCCATACTAGCCAGCTTGGGTTCGATTTTCAGCAGGATGGCCTTCCTGCGTTCTGTTGACATGGCAGTATTGGCATTGCCGATCATGCAGACCAAGCGTTGGAGCCAGCCAAACGCTACTTCAAAGTCTACTGGTGCCTCACCCGACTGAGCTGCTTCCAGCAGTTCGTACAGTTTATTGACAGGACCCAGAGTGTCTAGGAACTTGTCCTGACAATTACGGAGGGAGTAGTCCAGTCCCCTCTTGGCCTTCCAGCCGGTTTTGGCTAGAAACTGGGCTATCTGAGGGTCCACTTCTGGGGTTTTTGCCACAGCATCAGGGATTATGGGTTGGGGGCACTCCGCTCTCAATTTATTATGGCTCTCTTGAGAAAGGGACTTACGTACCCTGAGGGCTAGGTATCGGCCGATGTGTTCGGCTGGTTCCCACTCGGCAGAGCGCGGGTGCCTTAAGTTGACAGGGTCGAATAGCGGGACCTCCTTAGGGTCGCGGGCTGCTTCTGCCTTGGGCGCCCCTGAATGAGCAGGGGTACGCGTTGGTGTCAAGGGGAACTGCTTTCCCTGGAGGCTTTCACCCTCTGAGAGCTCGTCCTCGTACGGGTCAGAGTACGGGGCGTCAGACCCCTCATCCCCCTCCTCGTCTGAGTCAGACAGTATATCATGGGCTCTAGCCCTTTTCCAGTCTCTGGTAGCCGTAGCTCGCCCAGAATCTCTATTGCGCGGTTGTTGCGCGCCATCATGGACAGCCTGAGGCATGTCAATCAGAGCAGGGTCAACCTGCATGGGGGGGGGTCTTGTGAATGTCTGCGTTTGGCTAGCGCTTTGTGTCCTGGTAGCCTCCCTTCAGGAGGGGTATGGGTCAAGGCAGGGGTAGAGTGAGGTTGTACCTGTTTGAGCGCTTGCGTAATGGAGTCCGAGATGATAGAGGACATCGCGCCCATGGCTGAAGATATGGCCTTGGAAATAGATTTGGACATGGTGGTGTCCAGAAGGGATTGGAATTCCTCAGAGCCCAAGAGCCCAGGGTCGACCTGAGGATCAGGATCAGTAGTGGCCATAGAGGGGCTATGTTTGCCAGGGTATTTATCACCAGATTGCATGGTAAGTAATAGAGTGCAAGTGAGAAAATAACAAATAGAAAATAATAAAGTGAAAATGCAGAGTACTAGGATTGATTAACCCAGGTACAGGATGGAAAGTACAGGGAGATGGAAGGTTAATTCCAGGAATATATATGCAGAGAGAAATCAAACTGTACTAGTAGGGGGGGGGCTGCCGGAACGAAATCCGGTGAGGGAGGGGTCAAACGGCACTAAAACCGAGTAGAGAAAATGTCCGCCGCCTAAACCGGCGACCAGAAACCAAGAAAATGGCCGCCGCGAGCTACCGTGCATGCGCAGTGCATGCGAGCGGCGGGAAACTAAGGTAAAGTGAATCGGCGCGCGGACGAAAGTAGGTCCGGCCGGCGGAGCTGCAAATAGTGCCGGGAAATGCCGCGGGGTTGACCGATGGGTCCCCCCGGTGAAAAAAACGGCAGACTGTGACCGGGGAGGGAGCCCCAACCGGAGGGAGGGGGCTGGAGAGAGGGAAATGTATGAATACTCAGGGAACAGACCGGCCACAGTAGAATAAACACAGTAGAATAAACACAGGCAGTGTAAGAAGAAGTGGGAAAAAACAGAGAAAAGGAAGGATAAACTAGATAAGGAGTATCGCCACAGTAATACCAAAAGATATAAATCTAACAGCTATATAAAAATCTTCTGAAACATCCCACAGTGTACACATAGAAATAATAATATGAGAGTGTACTTATCTTCTGAGGGAGCAGCGAAGAAAGAGGAAGAAGCATGGAGTGCTACACCTTATATACTAAGGGGGTGGATACCTATGAGCACTGTTACATATGCTAATGTTATTGTTATTTTTTCTCCCTTTTGCATATATCTCTCTTCGCTGCTGAGGGAGAATTAAAGAAAGAGAAGCATAATAGGAGCCTCCGTGTCTTTAATAAAATTACAATTTTCTCTCCCTAATATGCAGGCTGTACACTTACTACTTTACATTGTAGCAGAGTATAAATTCTTCAGTGTCGTCACATGAAAAGATAGAATAAAAATAATTACAAAAATGTGAGGAGTGTACTCACTTTTGTGAGATACTGTATACAGTAGTATATACAGTTTTACCCATGTTTCTGAATCAACCTATGTTCTAGTTTATTGTGGAGTGACAGTTACTTATTATATTTATTATTTTATATATATATATATATATATATATATATATATATATATATATATATATATATATATTAGTAGTAGTAGTAGTAGCAGCATTACAAGGAGCACTACGGTTTTCAAATCGTAACTGTTTGCCAAAATATTTAGTATAACACTTTTTATGTGATTTCCGTATATATTCTATGTATGACAAACAAAAGGTTCTTTATCAAGTGTACACACTGTGTTTGACAATGACTTGACTATCCACTGACTTCAGGTGGAAGGCATTTTCAATCACTTTTTTCCCCACCATTATAAACTGTTTGTAATATATATATATATATATATATATATATATATATATATATATATATATATATATATATCACAAACAGTTTGTAATGGTGGGGGAAAAAAGTAATTGTGCTAAGGTGATGACCTGAGGAATCCCCTTAAGTGACCTCTCTTACTGGCATATGTTTGATTTCCTTGGTTTATTTTGTGGATTCTGCCTCTTTATCTTGTCATTTTACTTCTATTTGATTGATCCTGTCTGGGTGCCAAAGCTATTTCATTTGGGGTCCCTGAATTTCATTGGTTTCCTCTGTCACTTTGGTGGCTTTTTGTGTAATTTCCAGGATTCCCTATTCCTTCCGTGGTGGTCTAGGGACTCCATATTCTTGGCATATGGCCAACATTTTCATTGATGCTGTGGCAGTTGTTTTAAGCATCAGAATTTTAAAATGTTGTCCAGAAATGGTTTTGCAGCTGTGTGAATTCATTCTGTGTTCTGTGTTCCTTTGCAGTATTGCAGCATTTCTCATGTTATCATTTCCTTTATCGCTACTGGCATTGTTTTACATCTATCTGTCTGTCTGTCTTTATATCTATCTATCTAATCTCTCTCTCTAATATGTGAATTTTCTTTCCTTCCACTTTGTCATTGTGGGTTAACTAAAAGGGTGCTTAGTGGCAATATTGCTTTTTTGTTCCAGTTCCTCCGGGTAGCACTCCTCAGCATCAACCAAAGGGAATTCTTTCAGAAAGATTTTGTGTAAGGCATCTGATGAACCAGCAATGGTAACAAAACTTCTCTGTGCAGCCTACTTGAAATATAATATAATATAATCATTATTATTATTATTATTAGTAGATTATGTGTTATACATACATATACAAAGTGTATACAATATGGGAAAAATGAATGATAACATGCATAAAACTTAAAATTCCTTTGACACTCAAAGAGTTAGAGAAACAAGTCAGCAAAATAAGAAAAAATTGCAACACGAAGGAACACCAAAAAGGCAGCCTTGGGGGGCTCATTAGTTACAGGAATGTTAATCATGTAATCAGGAATAATATCACGTTGGATTTTCTTTCTTTATTGATGCTCTTTGGATAACGGGAATATATAGATTAGAAGAAAACCTTTTTCCTACCGTGTTGGCTTTTTTTCTTGAATTCAAACAATACTTTGGGACCCTTGCTAAATAATGAGGAAAAAATGCCATTAAATCTGCTATTGGAATAGTGACAGACTGAAGAAAAAAGTGGCGTTAACACTATATAAAACTGGTGCTGCTAAATATAACCCAAGTGCAATGCCACTATTTACACTTAAAACAATACAATTTGAAAACAAACAAGATGATTTGCGCACACAGTGATCTTTGGTTTACCTTCCATAATTCTTTGGTAACCAATAAAGTGGAGTTTTTCTCTCCTATATTAAATAAATATTGAAAAACACATAGTGTAATCTGTATATAAGGTGTATTTAAATGTGTTAATATTCAGCAAACTCACAATTTTCAGAGCCCATTAGAAGTTGGCTCAGAACATGTATTGCATTTCATCTCTTCAAAGAGATATAGGATGGATATTTCAGTGGTTTCACTTTCAGGAACTCGGTACTGCCCCAAAAACAGGAACTCCAGAGTCCAAGGTAAACGTTGCAAGGTAGATGTTTATTAACAAGTGATTAAAAAATAAATAGAACAAAAGCACAACGTGTTTCAACCTAAAATAGGTCTTCCTCAGGTACAGGTTTGGTTTTAAATTAACATACATCGCTTTATATACCATATGAACCACAAGTAAATCATCCACACATGGGTATAATAAATTGAAAAAGCCTACCACTTCCAAATAGGGTCTTAGCCGGGCACAATCCGCTATCCCCAATATGACGATGCATCCGGCTCTAGACAGAGTCCTCTTGCAACCCCAATATGTTCGCCAATCTTCGTAATCTTCTTACGAATCTATTAAAGAAACAGCCGACGCGCCACTTACTGTGACTTTTTCTTGTGAAGCGCACAATCACATGATCGTTCCGTCCATGACTCTTCAATTTAATGAAGTGGTGTTGGTGCGCAGACCCTCTTACATTTTTTTTTCACACTGTAAAACATTGCCATATCCCAAAAAACAGCATGGTTTAATTTGTCAAAAAAAATATCCCTCCAGTGGCTGTCATAGGTCTTCACATTCACCATTATCACTTAAAACATGATAAAGCCAAAACACTGCTAATGTTTCTATAGAGAATCTTTGAATTCAATGCTTTAGAATCAATGCTCCTCTATGAGAAGCATCACATTGGTTGATTGTGGGGGTTGCTGTGCATGTGCCTGTAGGTCCCTATGCTTTTCTGTAAAAAAACATTGGATTGGACCAAGATAATCACTACTGATGATCTCATAAGAGGTGGAGCGCAGTTGCAAGAAGTCTGTCATGACACTGGAATAAAGCCAAGTTTAAAGTCTGACTTTATATTTCTATTTATGGGGTGACTCTGATTCTAAAATATTATAGGCTCGTGACAATCTTTAAAAATAATATATTTATGTTTAAAATTACAGTGTTCCTTTAAACAGATACCATTCATATTTAGTTGATTGACACATTTTCCAATCGTTTTATTGGATCAGTGAAAAAATAATCTTCGTTTTTACTAACCCAGAAGCTCAGGGCTAATGGTATGTGCTTCGTGTCACGTATCAAATGTTATTTCTTATTTTCTAGTGGCTTAATTTAACTTTATTTTGTTTATTTTGTTGTTGCTCAGGAACGTTGCGCTCATTAACATCTTTACACTCTGTCTGTTTACTATGTTGCACAGTAATAAATAGGACACCTGGTGTCATTAAATGGATCCAGTCAACAAGAGCATTTGTAATTTGAGGGGTTTGTTCAATAAAAGTGTCACTCTACGCCCTATATATGTGTAACCCTTTTTCTACATAGCCGAGTGCTGGTCTTACTGTGGTTTGGCAGCCACAGGTAGTTCCTGAATGACGTCTTTGCTGAGCCCTACTGGATTTGCATTCAGAACAGTGCATGTATTTAGTGGATATACTTTGGATATATAATGCATCCTTTAAAATTTCAGGTAGAGCACCACACAATACTGTTTATTAAAGGAAAATAGCATTATAGCACTGACCACAACTTCAGATGCTATATATTTCAGTTATTTTATTCTTTTTTTTTTCTTGCACCTCCTCATTAAGAAGAAAACTAGACTTTTTAAACATGTTTTGTTTTTACATCTTTTTCAGTTGTAAAACCTACAATGTTATCTGCTGTAACACCTGTGAACCAATTTAGTCTGTTAGATGTTGAGTTGCCTTTTTGCTCTATTATTTGTCTGCATATTTAGGTTTAATTTTCTTTATATAATGCAGCATTAATACACCTCCGTACATATTCTACAGTTGGTGGACCATCCTAGGATTTATCGTGACTTGGAGGTAAATTCACATTAATTTAATTATCTTGTTTTCTTAACCCCTTCAGGACGGAGTCAATAGTACACGTTCTGATCAAAACAAAATGTAAACAAAAACTGGCATTTGCGCTATATGTCTGTTCAACCGTAATTAACCTCTTTCATATTATATGCACCCACACTTATTATATATCATTTTGTTCAGGAGAAACAGGGCTTTTATTTCATATCAAATATTTATATATGAAACATAGTTTATTATGAATAAAATAAAAAAACTGTGAGAAATTAAAACATTTTTCAAAAAATTTGTTGTTCTGCCTCACATTTTAGCTGTAAATGTCACATTACTGTTAGCTTTTACTGCAAAAAAGCACATATTTGGATTCAGCAAAGTCTCACGAGCACAACAGTAGCCTCCATTAACAGTTTTTACGGTGTTTTGGAAAGTTAAAGGGTCAAATAGAGCACATTCCATTTTTCAGTTTTTTCACATTGAAATTTGCCATATTAGTAATGTTACCTTTGAGACCGTGTGGCAGCCAAGGAATGAGATTTACCCCCATGATGGCATACCATTTGCAAAAGTAGACAACACAAGGTATTGCAAGTGGGGTATGTCCAGTCTTTTGTAGTAGCCACTTAGTCACAAACACTGGCCAAAGTTAGTGTTCATTTTTGTTTTTGTGTGAAAAAAGGCAAAAAACTAATATTTAGCCAGTGTTTGTAACTAAGTGGCTACTAAAAATGACTGGACATACCTCGTTTGCAATACCTTGGGCATATTTGACTCTCTAACTTTCCAAAACACCATAAAACCTGTACATGGAGGGGTACAGTTTTACTCAGGAGGCTTCGCTGAACACAAATATTAGTGTTTAAAAATGGTAACTTGTATTACAACAATAATATCGTCAGTAAAAGTGCCGTTCATGAGTGAAAAATGCAAAAAACTTCACTTTTACTAAAAATATCATTGTTGTATATACAAATTACCATTTTGAAACACTAATTGTGTTCAGCGAAGTCTCCCGAGTAAAACAGTACCCCCCATGTACAGGTTTTATGGTGTCTTGGAAAGTTACAGGATTAAATATAGTGTTTGCAATTCAAATTCTCTGCACTTTTTGCCTGGGTTGTCAGGCATGTCAATCAAATTTTAACTAATTAATCACATAATTATGTTAAAATATTACTTAAATATACACGTAGAATTTTAATATATATACATATATGTATTTAAAGTCTACGTGTACACTTATGTATTTATTTATGTAATTAAATATATTTATCTATATTTGCGGTTATTTGTATTTTATATATAGATAGATAGATATAGAATGTCATTCTAAATGTATTTTGTTACCTGTGTGTGTGTGTGTATGTGTGTGTATATATATATATATATATATATATATATATATTTATTAATAACAAAATACAGTTAGAATGAAATTACATATGTATATATAATTTATTTAATTTAAAACAAATAGTTTATTTATTTTATTATTTTAATTATTTATTATTGTAATTATACGTGTATATATAAATATAAAATATATATAGATGTATTATATATATATATATATATATAATATATATATAATATATATAATATATATCTTATATATGTAACGTCATTCTAAGTGTATTTTAATACTAATATATACTTATATTA